CCGCCCGCGATCACGCCCAACATACAGAAGGGGCCGCACGGTCCGCTGGATGCTGTGGAAAAGGAAACGCGTGACGAGAAATATTCTTGTCGACGGAATGGTAATACGAATTTGGAAAGGCGAACCTTTTCGCGCGCCGGATACGAGAAGATCCTCTTCCGTGTCTCGATAACGCGGTTTAACGTCTCGTCTGTTAGCACCGTTGTCGTTCGGCATGCGGTCCACGTTGCAGGTACACTGCAGCTGATCGTTGCACGCGCACGTTCCCAAACCGCTCTTTATTCCTCGACCTCCTTCGTTCATGTGAGCAAAGTGTACGTCCGCTGAAACGTTTCGTTGTCGTCAGAGAGCACGAAAGGGACGAGAGAAGAAAAGGCGTGAAAGAGAAAGAACGTTTACATTCGAGAGTACAGTCTTGCGGGCAAATTCGAGGATCCAACTGTTCGAGGGCGTCGCATCGGTTGTCGGGACAGTGAGTCAAGTCGGGAGAGCAGGTAGGATAGTGGTCCGACATGATCGAAAGTTGGTTCGATTTGTTGTTCCATCTCCAGACACAGTGACCGAAAAAACTGCCGTTACTGAAAAGTCAAAACGTTTCTGTTTCGATCGTTTTTGCTAAGGCGAAGCGAAGACGAAGGCGAAGCCGAAGCGAGGGAAAGTAGTAACCTGTATAATCCACTGGCGACGCCGCAACTGGATTCGCAGTCCTCCGGTGTCTCCGCGTTCGCGCAGGAACNNCAGGAACGCGGACGAGCGATCTCGTTCGGCGCGTGATCGCACGGGCTCGTTTTCGTCGCTGCTGTCAAATTGATTTTCATGGACCTGGAGGAGACGGCCTGATCCTTTTCGCTCCACTTGATCTTCAGCCTGCGAGATTGGTCGGACCTTGTAAGTTGGCACGTTCCGAAGACATTTCGAATGGGAAACACTTACAGCAAATTCGACGGCTCCGTTTTCAGCAGATTCTCGTCCGCCACGTAGACGATGCCCCCGCGTTCAGTGACGGCGAACGCGCTCGATCCGTGGACGGTGAAATTCGTGGAGGGATGCGGCTCGTTGGTCGGTTTCGCGACCCGCGAGTACCGGGACGCCAATCGAGCAACTCGAACGCTCGAAGGGTAGGAGAATTGTTGTCTCGAGGATACGGACGGCACGGTCGTGGTCGTGGTACGGTGTTCCGGTCCGTAGAACGTCAACGAGATGTTTAACTAACGAAACGAAACGAATGGAAAAACTTTCTCTTTACGAATTCGTCGAACCGTCGTCGTCGGTATCGCGTCGACGAGGTTTTTCAACGGTGGGCGTGAATCGTACGATTAATGCGTCGAAATCGGAAGTTGCCCGCACAGATAATAAGGATCTTCCGCCCACGCGAGCACCGACGAGCAATTTCCACGCGGAACGATTCCCATTAATTTTCGCTCGGCCGGATCCGCGGAATCGGCTTCGAAACCGCGCCCACCGAGCAAACGCTTTCTCCGTCTAATCCGTTAACGAGTCGCGTTCGGATTAAATTACCTTCTCCCGCTGGCGAATATGTACGCGCTTACGTGCAAGGAAAAGCGTCGAGAGGAGAAGGAACAACTCACCGTGTTATCTCCGTATCCTGGGAGCAAGGACTCGTCCTTCGCTTGAAGAGTCACTCGGTACGGAGATTTTGGCAGGAGCGTGGTTTTCGCCGATATTCCTGTAAAAGCCGGGAAAAGGATAATTTGCTGATCGGCGATTAAGGGTCGCGGCGGCAATGAAATTTACGACAACGAGCGAACGAGGATAACGTAGAAAGAAGCGATCGGAAGGAACGGACTCACTGGTGATTATCGCGGTGTAAGAAACTCCGTCGGAAAGCTCGATCGGCAAAGCGTTGTACGTGACGTTCAAAGCGTCGTGAGTATCGCCGAGTACGCGTACGGAGTAACTGTTACTGCTCTTCTCGTCCGCGTCTTTCAGTATCAAGTTGTTGTCGTCCACCAGCTTGTCACCCTGTGGAAACGAACGAAAACGTTCCGAATAGGGAGAAACTGTCCGCGCGTCGCGTCGCGTCGCGTCGCGTCGCGTTGCGTCGCGTCGCGTCGGACGAAGAAAAAATTGTTAGGCGCACAGGAGAGCGCGGGGAACGGGGAGCGAACGAAGAAAGAGATCCGAGCTTAATCAAGATCAGTTCCCGAGGGGTTTTTTTCTTCGTCGCGTCCTTTTCCACGAGAATTTGCGATTTCGCGCGTGGCCCGTTCGAAACAATGCCACGCGATCAGGAGAACAATGCGCCGCTGATTAAGTACGATTCTTCGGGCATTCGAGCGCGACTCACCGTGCTAAAGTCTCGTAGCGTGATCGCGATGGAATCGTTTCCTTGCACCGTAGGGGGGTTATCGTTCTGATCCAAAATGTCTACGTGAATGACGGTGATCGGCGCGTACTGTGTCCCGGTAATTTCGTCCCAGACGACGCATTGAAGTTGAACGGCGACCCGTGGTCCTGGACCTCCCGGTGGACCCANNCCGCGTCCCTGTCGAGAGCCACGCGACTGTACAGCTCGTTGCTCGTCGCGCGAAAGTACTCCGTCCCTACAATTTATCGGATTAGAATTAGTCCGTAGAATTAGTCCGTAGCCGGCCCCCGCACAATTTCGTGTCCGCTCGGATCAACCGAGTCGAGCTCGTTTAATCTCCCTACGGAGAACAACCGAAACGCTCTAAGCTTTTTCGCGAAGTCGAGTCGGAGTTTGTCGCGGCGGTTGACACTTGCCGTTTAACAATTTATAGTCGGTCACGCGAAAGTTGGGGCAAAGTTTCCCGTAAATGGCCGGTCCGAAGGTGCCGATCATCGTGATCGGTTGATTCTCGTAAATTTTGTAGCTGGATTCGTCCCAGAAGCACATGTCCTGTAATAGAACGAGGTAGCGTTAGGTACGAAGCCGATTCCCTCGATCGGTTCGTTTCTCGAATTACCTGTACGTAGTCCGTGCAGTTGATTCGTTCGTTGTTCAGTCGTATCGGCTTCACTCTTATTTCCAAAGCAGCCTCGTTGCCGATCGTCTCGTTCGCCAACACCACGATCGTCTCGTGTTCCGGTCCGCCTTTGAAGCACGCAGCGAACATCGATAACGATAACGCGAAACGGTGTGGGAGAAACGGTGACCGAATCACCGAACTTACCTCGTTTCGGAAGAGCGTGTAGCAACAGGCTGTTCGTAAAGGGATCGATCGAAGCGATCGATTCGTGTGGCACGGCGATTCGATAGTTTGTTCCTTTCGGTTCCGTCGAATCGTTTCGAAGCGTCCTGAGTTCGAGCAATGTCCAGTTTCGCGAAAATTTCCCGTCGTCTCGCGGTAAGTACGGTAATCTCATGCTCAAATTCGACTGCGGAAAGTAAAGATCTGAAACGAAAACGTTTGTCACGCTTCGCGAGCTATACGACGTCGGTTGCTTAGGAAAGGGCGAACGAGTAGCCAACGTTATTTCGATCGTACGGCATAAATAAACGTTTGATCGCGCTATCGAAAAGTTCAACGGTGAGGGTTCGCGTATGGTCAATTTCGTGGAAACGCGACCTGTGTCAAGGTGAACGTTTAATCGATACGCGGAAGGTGGTTAAAGTTCCGTCGCGTCGGCGCGCGCGTCCTCGACTAAAAATCGCCGACGAGACACGCACGCTTTCCGAACTTGGCCTAATACCCGACAGAGAACTTTTCAACTTCCCTCTCGTTTCGATCGCCGTTTCGATCGCCGTTTCGACCTTCCGTTCGGCGGCGATGTACGAGAAGCCTTTCAGAATCGAGCCGAATATCGCGATACCGATTTATCGCGAACGACGATCAGCTATTACGATAATTAGCGTTCGATTAGCTTCGCCGCTAACGAGCGATAGAGAGGATTTCGCGAAAAGGACAAGGGAGAGAGTCCGACCATTTGCGTTTACCGCGTAGACGTTTATTCGCGGTAAAAGTCGCGGCTGGAAAAACGAGGCGGCCTCGACGCGTCGTCGAATCGTACGCGGGCACGAGATCGTTGTAGCTGGAAACCCTATTCGCACGTCGAGTTACAATTCCCGAAAACAGAGACCGTGAACACGATACGCGCAGCCATACAACCGGCACAGCCCTCTTCTGTCGCGTTCGCCGATCTCCAAGGACCTTCCGCGTGCGAGTTCGCGTCGAGCGAGGTTAGACACCCTTTGCCGGCCACCCTACCCTCGTGGATCCCGATACACGCGTCCTGTAAATTGATTCGTCGTTCCGTGCGATGCCGTGCCGTACCCTACCATCGTCTCCTAACATCGATTCCAGCAGGAATATATTTTATTTTATTCCCTGTCTTTCGTACGGTTTCCGCGATCCTTCTCGCGCGTCGCTCGAGAAAGAAAAGTCGAGCGAGAGAGCACGTGTGCAAACACGCGACACTTGCGCGACAATCGCGAGAACGGGCGCAAACACCTGCGCGGCCGTGTCATCGATAAACGGCGCGACGACGCTTTCCTCCCTTCCCGACTATTATTCCCGGGTTTCTTTTTTTGACCCCCTTTTACCGATCACGGAAGCGCCGCGTCCTACAAAATTCGGAAATAGCTTAACTATATTTAGGTTACTTTTCTCGGCCGTTACTTTTAGGTTACTTTCCCGAACAAAAGTTCGGCCAACTTTTAACGTCCTAACAACGAGCTTACGACCTTCTTAAAATCTCCTCCTAAGATATTTATCGCTTTTTCCACTTTCTTTCTCTTCCTCCGTGTAGTAGGGGGGGGATAGGCTTGAACGCGCTCGAAGCCGTCAACGATCGCGACCATCTTTCGTCCTACCCGAAACAAATTTATCGCGCTCTTTCCTAATTTTCCAGCCGTTCTCGTACGCGATCGTTTAACGAAACGAAAGCCGGTTAGATTTATGTCCCGCGAGACGGAATACGAGCTCGCGAGGATACGTTATCGATCGTTTCTTTAATTCGACTTTCGTACTTTGTTCTTTCTCCGCGAACGAGTTTACTCGGAGGTCGTAAAGTAAGCGTATCGCCATAAGGTGGCGGTCGCTTAATCAAAGTTACGGTAAACATGGCCCACTTTTTAATCCTTTAGCGGTTTCTTCGGCCCGTTCGAGTCGAATAAAATGCGGTGAAATGGGAGGATGAAAATCTTCGAAAACGGTGCGCGCGTCGTTGCTTTAAATGCGGGAAAGATGTATCGTTTTTCGAGGAAACGGGCTTTCTTCCTTCGAAAGCGATTTGATTTTCGTACACCGGTAATCCAACTGGTCAAGATATACGCGTTTTCCCATTTATATTCCCGTCCTCCGCACTCGAACGACGCGGCGAATTCCTGGTATTTGCTTTCGTCTTTTATTTGTCGGTTCGTTTTTCCGCGGGAGAAAGGAAGAGATCGACCTTTACGGAAAGAGAAATTATTTATCGCGACGCGCGTACGCTTTTCGAGCGTAAAAAAAGGGAAGCGCGAACAAATGTTAGACTATCTTTATCGCGACGGTATAACGCGATACGGAAGGACGGTGGCAGGCAGCGCGGCTTCTCGACGTCACGATCGACCGCTTCGAAAAATCATTTACACGGTTACGGCGCGTGTCGTTCGATCGCGGTTCGATTCGCGGCAGGCAACGCGCGCCAGCTAACCGATGTTGACAAGAGGTAGCCTACCTCGATTCTGTTTGCTCGGTATACATCTCGCGTCATAATACCGTGGATGCAGCGTGAAAACGATACAGTCGACGAACAAACTGCGATGACTAATTTTCTCGACCGGCGTCGTTCACCGATCGCTCGCCGACGCGGCTAGCGAGTCGTTCGTTTCTTCGTCGAAAAGAAAATACGTTGTTCGCTGTTACGAAGCGTCGTTTGGACCGATCGGACGTGTCTACAAATATATAAATATAACCGAAATATTTCGCAGCCCGTTCCGCCTTCGGAAAATCGTAAGCGAAAGCTTCGAGTTTACCAGTAGCGTTCCTCGACCATTCGTCCGACGCGAAGCAACGATCCTTTGCTGCGCGCTTTCGTACGTGGAAGCAGCGTAATAACGAGAGACGATACGCGTATAACGTAAATTTTCGATGGCGTTTCTCCGAACGGATAGCGCCGGCAACTTAATCCGTCGGATCCGTGTTTAATTATCGTCGACGTCGATATTAGCATATACCTCTGGTTGGTTCGTCCGAAACAAACCTTCGCAGACTTCTACTTTCCAACGGCCAACTGGCCGCTCCCTCTCCGTCGATAGCCTCTGCGTTTAGACTTTTAAATTAGCCATCCGTTCGTTGATTGCCCCATCGAAATCGTTGTACCATCGTCAACGATCGAACGGTACGAGCCATTTCCGAACGACGGTTCGCTCGCGTACGATTACGTATCGAAAATCGTACGTTCGACGGACGGCTCGAAAAGGCGGAAAGGGAAAAACGAAGGACGGTGACTTTAGTATTTGGGTTGTGGGGTGTGGCGAAACAGAGAGCCCCGTGGGATCGTCGATGTCGGTTCACCTACATACGCCTAACGTTTTTCCTAGTAAACCTTTGATTAAATTACGTCGTTAACGAATTACCGACTCGTTGCCGTGGCTTTCGTTAATTTCGCCGAACGAGATCTTTGCTCCTCCTCTTCGGTGTTCTTCGAGTGTCACGGGGAACGGAAGTTCCGAAAAAACCGCGTACCGTTCGTTACGAGACGTTTCAAAGCGCGATCGCGAACGACGAACGACGCATAGATATACGCGGATCGTTGTTTGCTCGAGGACGACACGGACAAACGTTCGCGGGCCAACCAAACATCGACCCTGCGTCTTTGGCCGATCAAAGCTGTAGAGCTTCGGTAAACCCGATAAACGTATATCGAGGCATGCCACTGTAGTTTATCGAAGGTTCCTTCTCTTCGTCGATCTTTTCAAACGGTCCGAGCTGTGATCGTGGAAAATCGATCGCCCGGTTCGTCTCGTGTAAGTCGAGTATGTTGAACCGTGAGTCCGTAGACGAGCGTAACGCTCTCTCTCTCTCTCTTTCTGTACTCTCTCCTTTGTTCGATCACGAATCGGCGTTGCAGTTAGGGCGAGGGTTGCTTTTAAGACCGGCGTTGATTAACGATTTTGGGGTTGCACGCGATCCTCGAGGTTCGTATTTCGTCGCTCGCTACCGTTACCGTTACCTTCTTGCTTCGACGCGTCCGCTGTCACGGCGAAAACGTTTCGAGATAATTACGTTTCGTTTAAAGCTTAAACTTTAGCTGCTGTCCTCGCTGGTCCTCGTGGAGAGCGAGTACGATCGCGGAAAGAGAAAGGAAAGAGCACGGCTGTAATGTCTAGCATCGTGGGTAAACGGGTCGTAAAGGGTGTACATAAACCGGTGTTACGCGTTGCCGCGTAAAAGCTGCAAGTAGAATCGTTACGTTCGCGTTCGAAAGTTCGGGTTTCGGTATTGTCCGCCGAGATAAAGGAGGTTCGGTGCATGTTCGAAAGCTTGACGAAGCTAGTTACCGCATTCGGAGAAACGTCGAAATTGTTGGTGAATCGGATACTTGGAATTCGCGTTACGAAATTTCCATCTCGTAGCGTATTCGATTATTCGTCGACGAACTCGACCGCGTTGGATTTTTACGTTGGCAAATCTAATCTCGTGTTGGTCGATCGAGAACGTCTCGAGAGAATTGTATCTGTCAGGAGGACTCTTCTTGTACGTCGAAGATACGTACCTGACGGAATAATACCGGCTTAATCCCGAAAGAGCGTAAACGAAGGTGTCTCGGGACACGATGTTCGTTAATTATTCGCGGCAACGTGTACGATCGCGCGTGTATGCGGGTACGCAGGTTAATCGGTCGCGCGGCCTCGCTCCCGTCGGTCGTGCATTTAATCGAACGCGCGAATACCGTTCACGTTCGTGGTCGTCGCGTTCTTCTCTCGCTCGGCGAACCGCACGCGACCAGAAAGCCGATCTCGCGATCGTTTTCCCGTCTTTTCCGTGGAACGAGATGTACGATCATCGATCGTTCGATCGCGCGCGTTCGCGTGTCTACCTGTCGTTAAACGACCGTTTCGCGTGATATCGCGTTTCCTCGAGATACGCTGTCGCGCGCTTAGAATCTCGTAATTAATCGAGACGAGCGCGCGTTAGAACGGCCGTTAATGAATTTGCTCGCCGTGCGCGAATCTTCCGATTTTTTTAACCGTCGACGCCGTCACCGTCATCGCGAATTTCGCCCGCTCGTGACCACGTTATCGCGTTAATGCACAGGTATCGCGCGAGAGAAGCGTAAGAGGGCGAGAAAGAAACGGGACGAGAAGTACGCGTGGACGTGCATGGCCGAGCGAAGGGCAAGTATCGATTTTTAGCTTGCATCGGAATCACGCGATTCCGATGTTGCACGCGACGCGGTGATATCGCGTTCTCTGATTCCGGTCAAGTGCGCGAATGTCATCGGTTCAACTTTTCAAACGACTGCCACCGTTTCCCTCGAAATCGCATCGTGCCGACGCTGTGTCGTCGGTTTCCGCGCGGCGACGGTTCGCGGCGACGGTTCGCGGCGACGACTCGCGGAACAATTTCGCGACCGCTTCGATGTCGGTGCGACAAAGTCGTATCGAGTTAGATCGCGCACGCAAATTTTAGCATACAATGCTAGGCCGCATTAATTTGTCGTTGATTTAGTAGCGTGACTTTGCGCAATCGAACGACGCGACGCTCGCGTTTCGGCAATTCGACCGTTTCGTGTTTTCGTTCCCCGTATTCCACGTGGATCCGGGCGCGTGCAAAGTTGACGCGCGATCGGATTTAATCGAGGGGAAAGAAATCGACTTACCGGAGGCGGGTGCGCCCGTTGCTAATAACAAGAGCAAAAGAATCAGCATCGTGTACGAGATTGGTCGATCGATCGTGACGATTGTTCGCTCTCGACGGGATCGTGAAAGCGAGCGTTAACGTAATCGCATCCTCGACGATCTCAGTCCCGCGTCGAGAATCGGTTCTTCTCCGTCCGCGGCACCGATTCGTTCCCGTGGCTCCTCATTCGATATCTCGTTTCGCCTCGCGCTCCTCACGCGGTCAGACCGAAACGCCTCGCGGCCCTTTCGTTCCCGCGGAAACCAAAGAATCCGCGTGCGTCGACATCGAACGGTTCGACGCGAGCGAATCGACGAGAAACGACGACGATAACACGGAGAAAAGTTCGTTTCGTCGAAGGATAGAGTGTTTAGCGATTTCTTGGCTAACGTACGAAAGGATAGCCAACGGAGGGAACCGCGAGAAAAAACGACGACGAAAACGTGACGACGCGAAGACGCTCCGAGCGTTACTGACTACCTCCAGGCACCCGCCGTTATCAAACAATTTTCCAGGTGGACGCATGCGCGTGCGCGCGTCCAAGCGTGCGCGCACCCCCGTCGAGGAATCGGGCCAAACAGAGTCGCTCGGGGAATAGGTGCGCGTCGCGTGTCGCTCGTCGCGCGTCGCCTGCAGCTTGCAGCTTCTAGCCTGCTGCCACCCGCTATACTCCTTACCCTCTACCGTTTTACCCGACGCGACAGTAGTCTCTTCTTCCTTTCGTTTATTTTCGCTTTCGTCGTCCGTTATCAGCCTCTAGCGAAATTTCGCGTCCTTTCGACTCGTTACCGAGGACAACCGTCGAACGAGCTGTTCGATAACAGCGTTCTTAACGCCTACGATAAAATTACGACGCCATACATACGTTACGGTCGAATCGAGAGAGGATAGTCGTTCTCGGTGAATCGTGAAATCGAGCTCGAGGGAAATTTGATTAGGACAGCGGTTTTCGGCAATTTCGCTCGCAGCGAGAAAACTAGCGGGGACCGGCTGCTTCGCTGTAATAATATCTCGACTCAGGAATATCCTTGGACTCGACGTCCCGAAAGGGACGCTCGTTTCGGCGAGGAGAGTCGACTTTCCCCTTTGAAACGATAACGCAACGGTACGCACGAGGCGAGGGGTGCATTTCAATTGATCCGTCGCTATCGTTGGAAGGGTTCGTTGACCAACGTTATCGTACGCGATGACGTGCACGCGAACCGTTCGGGCAAAGGACGCGTCGAACGTCCTCCACGAACGAGATCCACGTACGATTTATCCATGGAATAGACGATTTCGGTTGTCGAAGCGAAAAGCGAGACAGTGCCGATGAGTCAGACGGAGATTCCTTCGTTTCATCCCGTTACCCTCGCGTCCGACAGCGCGTATCTTTCTCGATACCGCGAATCGATCGATATCCCTTTTTTTTTCTTCTCGAGGATGTCGTCGCGAGGAGGATGAGAGTAGCGCTGTCCCGTTACCGAAGTTCATCGAAACGAACTCGTGTTTTATATTTCGTAAATGACCGTGTAACGCGGTAAATAAATTTACCTACGATCTTGTATGTTCGAATTATCGTTCGTTCCATGTACTGAGAACAGAACGAAGATCGAAGAGAACGTATACCGTGATTGAGAATTCGATATAAAATTGTATCGAACGCGTTCGATTTCGGCTCTTGTACGCTCGTTACTTTTCTTTTCCTGTTGTCGCGGTTGTGCGTTGGAAAGCTCGTCGAAAGTGGTCGAACGATCGGAGAACGCTTATACCTTTTCCTAAGCAACGATCGTAAAGAGCAAGGCGATTTCAAAAATGAGAAGCATCGTACTTTGGTAGGAGGAAATTACCCTGTACGGGTAATATTGCGCAATACGAACGTTCGCGAATATCTGCAGTAATTAATGCCGTTCAGATTCGCTCGTACATACGTTGTGCAGTGGAACGCGATTCGGCGTAAAGGCGAAAAGTGAAAAACGAGAGACTAAAGGATAGAGAATAAATTGAAAGCAGGTAGTCGTTCGTCGAAAAAAGTTTTATCAAGAACTGAAGCGTCGTTCGCAGTCGCGTTCATAAATCAACTGTTCGTGCTATATCCGCGTCTTCTATCAAAACGGTTTTGCGTTTTCTGCATCGCGTTCAATTATTTCGTATTGTTCTTGACTCGGCTTACCAAGAATAAAAGTCGGTCGTGATCGATCGATTTATTAATTTGAAAAATCACCGCCGATATATTGATCCGTTTGGAAACTCGCTCGGCTGCGCGTCGTTATCGTTTCGAACTCGTATTCCTCGTCGAGTTGTTGAAACTACGTATTTTGCAGGATAAATATAACAATGAATTTATTCGACGAAAAGTATCGATCGGAACTTTTTTCATTCCGAAAGGGTGAAAGCGAACGTCGAAAATGGCACGAATAGCGTCATCTGCCGGTGTACGCGCGTTCGCCAGACTTTCGAGGCGAAACCCACTTACCGTCCGTAGTATAACACTGGAAATCTAGTTGCGCGAACGTCGAGAAAGTTACTGCGAGTTCCGATAGAGTGTAAAAGTCGTTTTAATCTCAGGATATGCCGTCACACGACGCTAACGGTACGGAATAGAATCATACACGCGTGCATTATAAAATGATAGAAACGCGTAACAACGAAAGTTCTTTAAACGATATCGTTTACTTAACGGTATATCTTTTACTATTACGTAAGTTAAATTTCGATCGAGATCGCCAAGTTCAATAATAGCTCGGAGAATACGTTCGAACGTATAACAGCGGTAATTGACGTTAATTTAACGGGCAAATAATTTAAATGTTCAAAAGCTAGCGACGCAGAAGCAAATATTTAAGAATAACAATTAGACGGTTCGGCATCGTAAATATGTATACATATACTGTAGAAAATAAATGTTGGGCGTAAGGTTGTTGGTCCGTCGTGTACCGCGAACGCTGTGTGCGCGGCTTATAGACTGGCGACGGAAAATCGAAGGTTGCGCAAAACGACGCGATGCAGGAACGATTTTCGTAAAAGAAACGCGCGAATAAACGTAGCACGATCGGAGCGCAAGCATTCGCTACGGAAACGTTCGATCGTATTAGACGAAGGTAAAGTTAATCGGAGCATCGTGCGATGTAACCTTCGATTCCGATCGAACGATTGGTTGGCTGTGCAACGCGATGCGGCACGATATATTTAACGCGTAGCTATTGTTGCAATCGCGATCGCTTTTTTCCTCTCTCTCTCGTTATCTACGTTCGGCGTTAATTAAATGTTACGCGAGCGCGGTTCTCTTATACGCTCTGTTCGATAAGACGTACAAGTTTCAAGCGAAATTTGTCAGGATCGGTCCAAAGACCAGAACAGGAACGACGTTTCCTTCCTTTTCTCTTTCGTTTCGTCCGGAATATTTGTGCCTGTTCAGTCGTTCCGTAGAAAAGTAGCGTTATAATTTCCAAGCGGTATCACAGTTTGCTCCGGTTGCTCGAGCGACGTTTCCGTTTAAGAGGGTAGAAAGCCGAAAACGAACGTTCCGTCGATGCCGCGTCACGCTTCCAACGCCTTCGACGTCGATTCTCTTACGGGTTTCGGTTGAAAGAAAGACAAGCAGAAGCAGGCTAAACAGAAACGATACGGATTAAAGGTTGCTACGCGTCCAGTCGAGTCGATCGTGTATTTACCGAGCAACAAACATCCCAATCCCATGAACGCGACCAGACACTCGACGTCCAGCAACGCGGAAAACAGAAAATTCCCTACGATGGCTGCGACGTTTCCAACGGTGGTGAGCATCGCGACGCTGCTGGGTCTGCGTTAGCGAAAATAACGGATGAATCGGTATTCGCCTGGATTCTTTGGAAAGACAAACTACTTACTCGAAGGTAAGTAGTTACCTTAGCGGAACGGGGATGACGTCGACGTTGACGGCGGTAACGATGTTACCGGCTATTCTGGTGGTGACGATAATGGCAGCAGCCAGCGTTAGCATGTAAGCGGGATGCTGCGCCCAGTTCATTCCGAAGCTGCTTATCACCGAGAGAAAGAAAGCGGCAACTGTAACGGAGCGGAACATTTATGTCGCTTATGTCGCGTACGCTCCGGAAGGAAGAAACAAATTCTCACCCATTATCAGTTTCTTTCGGAACTTGGAGTTGGCTATCGCGCTAGCCAGGAAAGAGAAAAGGACCGCCGAGACAGCGATTATGGAGGAATTTTGATATATTACCGCGATGACTTTCCACTGAAAAGCAATCGCAACGATCATCGATAACGATTAACGATTAACGCGGCGCGATACGACGTCGATCGTCTCACCGTGATGCAAATGTTGGAAAAGTTCGGGCAGTCCAGGTATTGGCTGACAGGCAGGGCGTTTCGACGATCGAGCATATCGCGCATGGTCGGGGCTCGGTCTTTGCGCCACTTGTCAGCGTCGAAGTTATTCAAAATGACAAAGAGATGCGGTACCCAAAGTCTCATCGTGTTGAATCTACGAGCCGGATCGAACGCGTTAAATTCGCCGAATAATCGGACGGGGAATGAGGAGAGGACGCTTACCCGAGCATGCTGCCGAATTGGAGGAAATTCAGGAAGGAAACGGCGCGCAGGTACGGACCGGAGAACAACAGCTTGGCGTTGTAACAAGAGATTCGCAGTTTCTCGGAACTCCTCTGGAACACGGATTGTCGCGATAGCTGCGAGTTCTGCAACACCGCTAGCGATTTTATCTGAAACGTTCCAAGAGATTCGTTGTCGTCGCGAAACGACCAGACGATTCGTCGAAACTCACCGGAAACGCGTTTACCGGCTTCCTCTTGTTGATCGCGTACATCCTCGCGAGCAGCTTCAATGCCTGTTCGGGTTTGCCGATGTCCACGAGGTACCTGGGGCTTTGCGGCAACGCGCTGGCCGTCACGAGGCCTATCACCGGGACGATCGAACAGATCAGCAGGTAGATTCGCCAGCTGGTGTATCGCCGATAGAACACGTCGATCGTCAACGGCAACGGAAGAATCGTGAAGCCGAGTACTACGAGAAGAACGCGAGGGTTTCGATCGGAAAAAGAAACGCGAAGAAAAAACGAACGAAAGTAGAAGCAAGTACGCTTCGAGGAGGAGACGCTCACCCGCTGGGACGATGATCGCCGCGTTTACAGCCAGTCCTGCCCATCTGGCGAAGCTCGGTTTATATTTTGCCGAATGAAACTCGGACAGATAGGCGATCACCATCGAAAACGGTCCACCCGTGCTGTGAAATGCGCGTTACGAGCGTAAATCGGATTTGGTCGCGATTCCGCCAGGTGGGAAGACGATCTTGCCTCTATCGGAGCTACTCGCCTAGCGTACGGAAAGATACTCACAAAACGCCGTTGACGAATTTGATCGCGAGAAATACGTGGTAACTGTCCACGGCGCTGGATAGGACGTTCAGAACGGAATCCGCCAACAGGCCGAGGACGAACAGATTTCTTGCACCAACGTAGGGCGTCACGTGGTCCCACACGAAGCTGGTCAACGTCATTCCTGCGTAGATTCGAGGCGATCGCGTGATACGGACGCGAACTCGGGAGATTCGAGAAACGAAATGGAAAAGTAGCGTACCTACGAACGGAAACGCTACGAGAACGCCTTTTCGGAAAGAAGTCAGCTGCAGATCGCACTCGGCCGAAGCGAGGATGAAAGCCGGCGTGGTGGTGTCGAAGATGCCGGTCCACGCGACCGGTAACGCCGCCAGAAGCAGCAACACGTTGAACGTTCCGTAGCCTGAAAAGGAGAAAAGCACGCGTATAAACGGTCACGACACGACACGACACCACGCGACGCGCCTCGACCGCGCTGACCTGTCGCCGATATCGCCTTTTCGATGTCCACCGCATCCTCCTGGTCGCTCTTTGTCGCTGAAAATTACGTGAGATTTGACGCGGGAAAACGTTGCACGAAGAACGCGTCGCGAATCGCGTACGCGGTTACGCGAACGCCGCGACGTCGTATCCTCACCGTTGATCGTCGAGATTTTCGTTTCGCTCCCACGATTCGCTGCCATGGTACGCCCGTTCGTCCGGCACGAGGAATCGATCGTAAACTGTATCGAGCGGAGGTCGGACGAGCCGTGCAGAGCGTAACGAAGCCGAAACCGCGAACGTCGCCCGACGCTCGACTCGAGCGTTTATACTTTTATCCCCGTCGGGTACGCCGAACGACGATCGTTCGCGACGGTCACGAGATTCCGTGAAGCCAACGAACGAGACCGTGGACTAACGCGTACCGATTCCGTCTCTGGCCAACTTGTCGTTCGCGTCGATGTAACTTGCCAATTAAGACGGGTCAAACGATTCAATTGTTACGCTTCGTTCGTCCCCGTCACCGAGTTATCGTCGAGCGTCGCGTTAAACCGTTATCCGATATACCGCGATCTTCGACGATGCAAATTACGCCGATGCGGCGATCGCGAGCGCAACGACGACGACGACGAAAACGAGCGCGAGACTGGTCACTCGCTGTCCTCGGGTCAAAAATTAACTTTAGCCGAGTCCGGACCACGCCGAGCTGTGCCAAACGTTTTAAAGTTGGACGCACGCGATCTCGACTATTCGTCGAATCACGCTACCGAACCGAGTTTACGTCGATCTAAATAATTATTTGTCGAGACATATTCTAGGAGGATCCCTTAGCGATAAGATAACGGAATTTCGAGTCGAGGTCGCCCGTTTATTCTCGTTCAAAATCTTTCGTCTTTTCCCCTCTTTCTCCGTCGTTGCTCGCGAATATCGGAACGCGATCCGTCGCGCTCCATCGCGACTCGCGAACTGGTTTGCTCGACATCGTCGATGTTGTTCCGATTTCCATTGCAAATGACTAAGAACGCGTGCCGATAGATGGTAACGCGTCCTGTCGCGAGGCTAACACGCGCCTTCGCAGCAAACTCTCAACGAGTGAACGAATCGCTGAAAATTACGTGAGATTTGACGCGGGAAAACGTTGCACGAAGAACGCGTCGCGAATCGCGTACGCGGTTACGCGAACGCCGCGACGTCGTATCCTCACCGTTGATCGTCGAGATTTTCGTTTCGCTCCCACGATTCGCTGCCATGGTACGCCCGTTCGTCCGGCACGAGGAATCGATCGTAAACTGTATCGAGCGGAGGTCGGACGAGCCGTGCAGAGCGTAACGAAGCCGAAACCGCGAACGTCGCCCGACGCTCGACTCGAGCGTTTATACTTTTATCCCCGTCGGGTACGCCGAACGACGATCGTTCGCGACGGTCACGAGATTCCGTGAAGCCAACGAACGAGACCGTGGACTAACGCGTACCGATTCCGTCTCTGGCCAACTTGTCGTTCGCGTCGATGTAACTTGCCAATTAAGACGGGTCAAACGATTCAATTGTTACGCTTCGTTCGTCCCCGTCACCGAGTTATCGTCGAGCGTCGCGTTAAACCGTTATCCGATATACCGCGATCTTCGACGATGCAAATTACGCCGATGCGGCGATCGCGAGCGCAACGACGACGACGACGAAAACGAGCGCGAGACTGGTCACTCGCTGTCCTCGGGTCAAAAATTAACTTTAGCCGAGTCCGGACCACGCCGAGCTGTGCCAAACGTTTTAAAGTTGGACGCACGCGATCTCGACTATTCGTCGAATCACGCTACCGAACCGAGTTTACGTCGATCTAAATAATTATTTGTCGAGACATATTCTAGGAGGATCCCTTAGCGATAAGATAACGGAATTTCGAGTCGAGGTCGCCCGTTTATTCTCGTTCAAAATCTTTCGTCTTTTCCCCTCTTTCTCCGTCGTTGCTCGCGAATATCGGAACGCGATCCGTCGCGCTCCATCGCGACTCGCGAACTGGTTTGCTCGACATCGTCGATGTTGTTCCGATTTCCATTGCAAATGACTAAGAACGCGTGCCGATAGATGGTAACGCGTCCTGTCGCGAGGCTAACACGCGCCTTCGCAGCAAACTCTCAACGAGTGAACGAATCGACCTTGAAAACGACGCTACGTTCGACTCGATCCGATCGCTCGTTAGCGCGGTGCAAGTCAGCATCGACGCGGATTGTCCTAAAGGCGAGCACGATCGAGATTGTCGTGGCGAAAACGTCGGAACGGGAGAAACGAGAAAACGCGTCGGTCGATACGCGCGAATATGCGAACCACGAGGTTCCGTCCTCGCTAACCGTCGCGTCAAAAGCTAATGGCACAAAGATAATCCCTCTTTGCGTCGATCCCTGGATTCTCCTCTCTTCGTTATCGCGGCCAGTCTTCAAAGGCACGATTCATTTACGAGCATCGTGCCCGACCACTCGGCGTGTCGCGTCGTTTGCTTTTCGAGCGATCGCGATGCATATTTCCATCGTGGAAACCGAAACGGACCGACAATCAACGTACGGCAGGGAGAGAGGAAACGCGTTCCGTTTTCGAATCAGCGGAGACAATTAGATCGCGCTATTTACTTCGCGCGCGTACCATTTGATCGCGTTCGTGTACGGACTAGACTAAACAAATAAAAAAAAAACGGATCGTATCGCGAAACCGGTTCAAAAGTATCACGAGACTTTGAAAATTCGACGAATACGGTGAATGCGAAATAGGTGATTGGAAATAAGGGGCAATCGACGCGTCGCGCGAAGAAAGAGTCGTTTTCGCTATCTTTCTTCGTTTACCGGAACTTGTGCACGTTTCCCATGCGTCGGCATCGCGAACGGTTTATTCAGCGAGGCGCAGAATCGCGCTATTCGCGAAATACTTGGTTGTCGCGTTTCCGTTCTAGGCCTACCGAGCTTGTTTCACGTCGGAATGAGCGAAAATCCGATATCGAGGGGTAAACAAGGCGAGAGAGAAAACGAATAGGGATCTATCGACATTATTTATTCCTGCCACGTTCTCCCTTCAAGATAAGCACGGGACCGATGCACCCAAGGATAATAATTATCCCTTGTCCCAAATTTCGGAATTTTCTCGCGAAGGTGTCTTCATCGACAATCGTCTTCCCCGGATTCCATCGAATGGGACTGCGCGAAGAGGATGAAAAAGAGAAACATAAAGTCGCGTGTACACGGTAAGGAAGTAGGTAGAGAAACGCGTACGAAACGATCGCGTTTAGTCGATCGGTTCAGTTATTTTGGCAGTCGGTAAGCGAATCCGTGGTTGCTGCAGCTTCTTCGAGAACGACGCTTGCGTCGCGCCGTTTACGACTGGCCCGAGATTGTACCGACGCGACGCGACGGTCGAATCGAATCGGAAAATATTCTTTTCTCTCTCGTTCGTTTTAAAAAACAAAATTTCGCTTCGTCCAACTCACTTATCCAATTAATCTCGGATAAGTAATTCCCGCGACCAAATCCAATTTAATTCGGAAAATATCGTATCGCGTCCCAATTGGTTCGACCGATGTGACGCAACATGGAAGGGTTTTGATCAAAGAGTAGAATCGGTGATAGTAGGTAATTCGATGCTCGCAATATCCGGAGAAAAAAGTTATCGAATAATTGTTTTGTTTGCGGTGAATATTATTGGTTTCCAATGTCGCGATGTAAATAGCGGTGAAAAGGGATAAGGGTGGTGGCGAGGCAGTGGAGATACTGTCCAGACTGGGAGTACGCGGCATCGGGAAGTAGGCGATTTGAATAAGCGACGCGCGACGTCGCGA